TTGGTGAACCGCTTTGAGACGACCTTCGAACTAGGTTGTGATAAAACGGTATATAAAAATCTGGAAGTATTATAATTGTTATTATTATTAAAATAAAATCGTGAATTAGTGTCAAAAATATGAATAATGATGGGAAGAAAATCAATAATAATAGTTGTTTGTGTAACACGACGTGAAAACATGTCTGCAAGGTAACCGAGGTAATGTGCGATAATATCATCATATTTCATAAGTGATAGCTGTTTTTATGCCCCGCCATAAAATGTATACAAAGATCAAGAAAGAAAATACCTCAGACATGTTTGTGTTACAGTGTTCGAAGCTATATACATATTCAGGGTGTGAAGATCAAAGTCGTTATAACTATTTATAGAACATTATTAACACTGAAACTAAATTCACATGACGGTGGTGGCATTCATTTTCTAGTTTTGTTTATATATTAAAGTCGTGGTATTGCTTCGTAGTAACTGTTCATCCCCTTGTAATAGTTGTGATATGTGATTGTTCATGTTTCTGTCTTTGAAAATGGCTGATTGAGGCGGATGGCTTTGAAAATTTGACAAAACTTCTTTGCTTATACTTATTTATATCTATTTTTGGCAAATTATATGTATACAAAATAAACAACAAGTATGTAACAGTCATGCTAATAAAACAAAGAAAATCCTGAGGTGACTACAAAATTGTAATTTGAACTCAAAATATATAAAACTAAGGGAAAGTATGAGCAACTTGAATATACACATGGACACTCAAGAAAACGTGCAATGAGAAAAAAAGACTTTCCATAGTTACCCAGAGGAGAAATTGACTAATATTCCTTTGATTAAGCCTTTGATGTCACTTGTATTGTCATAATAACTGCATCTAGTGAAAGAATATTGTGGAAAATATTACCTGCGTTTCTGACAATTGGGAGTATTCTGAAGGCAGCTTTGAGTAGTCCGAAGGCATCGTACCTAGAAATAAACAATTGAGCAACACTTTAGTTTCTCAAGTTGGTTTTCGATATGATAAGATAGCTCAGACTATAAAAGAAACCGTTTCGTGTTCGGAGATCTAGATTAAATTTTCTATCTGGTACATTTTCGATTTTAACTGATCAAACAGAGAACACATTTCGGTTTTTTTCATATATTGAAAAGGAGGAAGTCTGCGGAATCTACTTTTTTCCAAAATTTATAGATACAAATATAATACTGCATATTCTTTCTTTTTTGTAGACATGGAAAAGAAACAACACTTTTTCTTTATATATGAGTGTTGACATTTGAAAAAGAATCATAACCGTCAAAAAATGTCAAAAGAAATTTACACAAGATACATGTGTCTTTTTTAGAAATCATTAATCTGTCAGGTGAAGTCATATCAGAGAAAAGGTTTCTAATGCACAGTTGCCGTTTTGGAAGTGGTATATGTACGATATTATTCAGCACAAAAAAAATACTTACAAAGTTCTATTTCGTCGCTAGTCGCACTTATCCCCGCCCTGTTTGTTAACTCGCACACATATCGTCCTTCATCAGACTGCCTAACTGGTGATATCGTGAGTGACATGTCATCGTTGATTTTATATCGGTTACCAGTAGATATTACATCGGCATTATGTTTCCACGTGCAGCTGTCTGCTCCGTACGTTTCACAATCCAATGTGATTTTTTTGTGCAGGTGTGCAACATATTTGTTCTCTAAGGGAATGACTTTTGGATGAACTTCTAAAACTCAACATAAGTGGTTTAATTACAAAAAGCTACTATCAATAGCTGTTTTATACAGCAAAACTAATGAATTCATTATCTTAGGCTCAAAAACAAGTAGCAGAAATGGCGAGAAACAAAGGTCGGCTTGTTATATTTTAACACAGTAAAATGTTTCACCTTTTCATAATGCCCTTATTCGTTTAGTCCTGTGGTGGAATATCCAATAAAATACTATTTGTCTGTACTATTTTTCCATGCAACAGTATTTCTTGATTACAACGTAAATGGAAGCAAGTTCAATTTACTATCCCCTTTTAATTAAAAAATGTAATCAGCTAGAAATTGAGTCTTTCCTGCATATGTAATACGTTTTATGGTCAACCAGAAATAAAAAATCATTCTCGCGATTTCTTTCTCAGAATAAGTTATAAACTGTGTCATATATCCTAGAATATATCTAGCACTTAGAGAACGAATGTGTTCTTTGAAATTGTTATGAGATTTGGCAGCATGAATAAAGGAGACAAGTTTCTGATAGGATATATATTTCATAGGTATGGAGTACATTACAAATAATGAACTATTTCTTTAATTATTTAAAAGAAACATTCCCATTACGACTGTATTCTGTATGGTTCTACGAAGGATGTTAAAACATTTAAGTTCTCCAAATTCGGAAGGTACCACTGTTCAAATAATACGTTGCTGAAAATTTGATTTTAACTTTAAACCATAAATAAGCAAAAACCGAAATAATGAATATGTTGAACATTTAATATGTTTCCATTAAAATCTGTTGATGAATGGAAAACATGTTTTTAATTTTCGATTAATTGCTAACTTTTCACGCACGCATGTTTTGTTTTCTGTCATTAGACCGCTGGAAAATGTAGGTCTATGCTACCGAAAACATACCTTGTTTTTGTTTGACATACATATCAAATATACGGGTTTTTAGTTATTATACAATTAAAGATATGTTTGATATTCCTAGTGATAAAATTAATCATGACGTTTTTAATTCCTGTTTGTGTTCAAAACAAACTAAGCCTTTACGGAACTTCAAAATTTAGAGGAGTACTGATTAAAATCAAATAATAAATTAAGTGTGTATATAAGGAACTGTGCTACTACTCAATTAAGATCGTAATTGTGAAAAACAAATGTAGGATTGAAATGAACATTTTACCTAAACAAACACATCTTCTTGAATTTGAATGAGATGCATAAGCTGATCCTTTGACTCTGAATTCATAACTCCCAGCATCATCGTCGTTCAGGTTGTGTATTTTCAGGCTCGGAGAGGGCAGCAGTGTTGCCTCGTATCGTTCGTCGTTCTTGTTTATCTCTTTAGAGTTGTGCGTCCAGTATGTGTCTTTGAACAACTCGGTATTTGGGTGTTCAACCTCACAACGAAGTGTTATCGACCCGCCTGCCTGCGCTGTTTGCCTCTCCCTGGGATAACGGAGAACATTCCACACATCTGAAAAAAGAAAACGAAACAGAAACATCTCATTTATGTAGCGATGAATATGTTCTTCATTTCTCAAAATTACTGATGTTCGTATTTCTTGTATCAAAAGTTAATGAACGGATACGATGCATATTTATAAAAATCATATAAGGTTGAGATTTTCGAAAGATCATTGAAAGAATTGAACTGGTCATGTCAAATTTATGATGACGTTACACATTTTATGGCTTTTGAAATGAAAAGACACATAGAAGGTTCCTACATAAATAACGGGAAATTTTGTTTGAAAATAAACGCCCGCTCAGCGCATTAATGAGCCCATATCATCCTATGTAATGTTTCTTTAAGCACCGATCTACGAAATGCAATAGCAATGGATATAAATGACAAAGATTTGTAAGCAAACAAAACAGGATGCACCAACGTACATTATGATGTTTGCTTTGCAAGGCTGTGCCACTTAAATAGACTGTAAATATCATATTACATAGTTCAAAACTCATATCATCAAAATTGAAGTCAGCTTAACAAAAGTCAGCATATAGTTCAAATTAGTATCAAGTAAATGTTTACTCGCACAATTAGATATAATCGGTTCGCAAGTGTATCTACAGGTAAACATGTACATCTGACACCGACCTCAAAGTATATTAAAATCAATGGTTAATTTCCAACGTCAGGTTGCTGCATACCTTGGGGTGTCGCAAAGTGTGGTGGCACGAATGTGTAATCGTTTCCAAACTAATGGAAACACTTCCAGACGTCATGCTGTAGATTGTTCTAGGACTACAACGCAGCGCCAAGACCGCTTTTTGCTCATACAGGCACAGCATCACAGGTTCCAGACTGCCACAGCTTTACGGAATGACCTCGTAAATGCTTCTGGTACCCGGGTAGCCACTCAGACAGTTACAAACCGTCTTTATGATTCTGGTTCAAGGTCACGTAGACCAGCAATACGAGTTTCCTTAACTGCCCGCCATGTTAGGGATCGATTAGATTGGGCCCAAG